TATAAACAGGACAGAAGAGAGAGAGAGCTTGCTTGCTTAGGGAGCTAGACAAGATTTGTCTCTGATCAACAGAGTGTGACAGATATCACACAAAGAGGATTGCAGCCACATCCTTTGTCTTAGCAACAACAGTCTGTCAGTCCAAAGTAATCTCACACATAAAAACACAAAGACACAATTCAAGCTTCAACTCCAGAGTCGACTCATTCCTTGTGAGCAGAATGTTTGTTAGGCTTGCTAACCACATAACCATGACATTCTGGGTTTAAACTGTCAAGAAACCTTTATCACAGGTAATTTCTCTTTTTTTCATCACATTACTCTCCGCTTGTTTTCTCTGAAGGCTAGATGCCATAAAATAACGTGACACCTCAGTCCTAGTCACTTTTCCCCAATGCACTACTGGTCTTTCTTGGGGGTAGTAGGGAGTGTAAACTAAATCAGCTCAGGCGTTTTGGCCAAAAGTCTACTCTCATTTTGAAATGATTTAGTTAGAAATTCTGGAGCAGACAAAAGACACAGGCTTTTCATCCATTTTGACCAAAGAAAGCTGTGGGGTTAGAGAGTGATTTATACTAACAATTGATAAATTGATCCCTTGGATGACAGTGTGAGGAGATGAAGAGAAGGGGGTGGGGTGATAAATGGGAAACTGACAAGTTAGCACTGCAGAATGTGTTGAATATCCTCATCAACTGATCATCTAGTATTCATACATCTATCAGTCCTTTCTGTCATGCAATTACATTACTTACAAACTCATCCACAATCAGCTACCTTCTGATGTACATACCAATCCAGTTTTAGATCAGTATTCTCCATTTCTAGTTTAGTTTCAAGCTTAGTAGCATTCATCTTTACATACACTACATCTGAACACGGAGGAGCTATGTGCGTCTAGATTTGCAAACACATGCTTATTTCCTATAGGCTGTATGATTGATTGTACCCGGGGCAGATTTTCAGACTGAAGCCCTCTGAGCAACGCAGTAGGAGTATGATGAGATACAGTAATCTGTGTTCATGGTGCTGGTTCTCCTACCCCACCAGCCTCCACATCCCGATATGAGTTGGATTAATCCCCTGTTCTCTCAGCCCCACAAGAGTCTTGGCTGGAAATTGGTAGTGGGCCATAGCAGTACTTGACCCCCATAAATAACCCCTGTGGAGTACAGGAAGTCCTACGTCTACTGCAGCCTGTCCAGGCATTTGGCCACAGGCTGGTAATTATGGTAGCCTCTAAATTAGAAACCTACTTGAGCCTAGGAGAGCCACAATTACACCACTAAGGGCTAATGCACTTTGACCCAGACAAAGTGGATGCCACATTGGCCGTGCCATGTAAGGGGAGTGTACAAATCTTTGAAATATTGCCACTAGCTGCTGTTTTTCTTATTAATCATACACACACTCTCTATCTTGCACACACAGAGAGAGAGAGAGAGCCAGCGGGCTTATCTAATGCAGTCCATCTTTCTCTGCCAGCTTCAGCTCTAAAAGCCCCTACCCCCAATTCTTGGGTGGTTGCTATGGAAACTACCTCATCCCCACAGTGGCAAAGACAAGGATGGAGTAAGGGAATGTAAAGAATGGAAGCAAGTGAAGTGAAAGGCAGGGGAAAAGAGATATATAGATTATGTGGTTTATAAATGACCCTCATACCTTCAATAATTAATTGATTAATATAGATTAATTTCTATCTTCGTGTCTGTTCATGTAAGAAAAGAGTGTGTATTGTTCATGAACAATGTATCTGTGTGTTGGTGCAGACTAGCTGTTTTCGTTAAGGTTGCACAAACAGACATATCACCTAATTAAAGTTCCTGCTCTACTCGGCCTTCACCAGAACATGAGCATGTTCAAAATTACATGGCTAGAGAACATGTTGTGTTATTAGAGAAGGCCGTCTCTGTGACATGGAGCAAGGGTTCGTGCTTTAGTGCCTGCTGAGAAAACACCTCACCATCACTCCTCGCTTTTTAAAATAGACAAACTAAAAAAAAGTGAACTTGAATCTTGCTTGGATTGCTTGGAAATAACGATTTCCATTCCCTCCCACTTCACACACTTTATTCAGATCTCTCGCAGAGCAGTCAGAAAGCAAAATAAGATTAAACATCTTCATCTTTCTGTTTAGAGGGACGAACATGTGGTGGAGTGCTGATGAAAGACAACTGATCGCTCCGTCTTTGGCAGCCTATTCAAAATTTAAGCGACAAACAGCGCAATGGGGGGGGCGAAGGAGAGCCATATTTATCACTGAAGACACCTTGTCAAAGCTTTGCTGTCACTGTATAGGGACAGCAGATTTAACAAATGCAGCCAATTAGCTCAGGCAACGATGGATAACTCATTAAAAATAAATATTAAGGGCTGGATTCTATGTGAATATAAACCAATTTAAAAAACATAATCAGAACTACTGCAAACAGCTGAACTGAAATAGTTTGGAGGCATAACATCAAAAGAAGTGAATGCAATTTAAAATCTTGGTGCTGTCACACTTAAATACACAGCTTTTAATTCTCAACCCACCACTTCAACGCACCAAAGCTATACTCAAGGCTTGACTACACCTGTTATTTGCAGGATTCCCGTATCTGTTCATGTCCTGCATTGAAGGATTATTTGTGTTTCCTCACTCACCAATATCTTTGCCATGACGCCATCGTCATTAGATTCCAAGGTAACAACAGCCTTGTCGGTCTCGATCTCACAAAGGGCATCACCTGCTGCCACCGCCTCACCTGTAATAGTAAAGAAACACATCCAAAAACCTTAATATAAAATAGGCTTTCATTTGGCATTTTAAGCACCTACTTTCCAAACACTCTTATCATTAAAAAAGGGGTTTCTGACCTTAGTCATAGTGCAAATTATTCATTTTAGCTGTGATTAAAAAAGCATGAATCATGATCATTAGCAGCGAGTTCAAAACAACTGCTCTTTCACACGGGCACACACCGAGAACAAATTAGTTGCCATGAAAATGAAAGATTCCCATTGAAGGGACAAAAAGGTTGTGCGAGAAAATATCTGCTTGAGCTTTGGCCTGCATATCAAATGAAGAGCCTAATCAATGTTTCATGGGAAAGAATGTGAGATACGGAAACGCAGTATGTCTGATAGAAGGGGAGATCTTTGCCTATCCTTAGACTCCCAGTAGATTCCCACTGGTCCACCCAATGAGAGAGCTGGAATATATTAGCATCTGCTTAGCAATGAAAGAGGATGGTTCGGTTCTTCCATGCTCATATATCCATTTTGAACAACACCTTTTTCTGCAATAACTCATTTGTCTCATTGGACAAAAAGGAGAGTAGAAGACCAGTGCTGTCAGTTCATTAGTGC